CTAAGCCCAAAAGCTCCCGAAGCCAACACCACCTAAACCCCAAAACCCCTATAGACCTCAATAAACCTCAATAAACCCCAATAAACCCCCCAAAAAAACCTATACACCCCTATAAACCCCTAAACCCTAAAGCCCTCTAACCCCGAACCCGATGTCCTCATGGTCCATGATGCCGTAGGTCGTGGTCCTCGAGCTGAAACAATCCTGAAACTTCCTGAGCCCTCAACACCTCCCTTCAACCTCAAATCCCCTCAATCCCTAAACCCTAAACCCATCTGAGCCTCTGCACCCTCAAACTCTTCAACCTTTCTTAAGCTTTCAGAGCCCCCCTGCCAAGGCCTACAACCCAAACTCCCACATCCCTGGCAAGAAGCCTGAAAGTTTGGATGTCCCCCCTATACGAAGAGTCCTCAAAAGGGATTATTGATCCCCATTAAGAACTATGAGTGTGAGGGGGGGGGGGTCGGGGGGGCGGGGGGGGGTGGGGGGGGGGGGGGTGGGGGGGGGGGGGGGGGGGGGTGTCGGGGGGGGGGTGGGGGGTGGTGGGGGTGGGGGGGGGTGGTGGGGGTGGGGGGCGGGAGGGGGGGGCGGGAGGGGGGGGCGGGAAACTCCATGTAACACCTAAACGGTCTGGGCTTTTTTTGGAGCTTCAGGTTCTTCGATTCCAAGTTTGGGAATCGTAGACTAGTAGAATACCAGCAATCTGGAGTGAAGCCGAAGGCTTCAGCTCCAGTTTGCTGGTTCAACAAGCGAAAAACAGGCATTAGGGGGGTTGCGGTGGGGCGTTGGGGCTTTCGGGTGCCCTAAACCACACCCTCAACCCTAAACCCTAACCCCTCAACCCGAAACCCGAAACCCTAAACCGAAACCCTAAACCCTAAACCCTAAACCCCCTCCCTTTGTCAACCGTCTGAGGGCCCCCGCAGCACCAGGTGCCCGAACTGACGCGAGGGGAGCAGGTCGCTGGCCAGCTGCTCGATGCCCTCCACGGAGACCTGAGGAAAGGTTTAGGGTTTAGGGTTTAGGGTTCAGGGTTTAGGGTTTAGGGTTTAGGGTCTAGGGTCTAGGGGGTTTAGGGTTTAGGGTTTAGGGTTTAGGGTTTAGGGTTTAGGGTTTAGGGTTTAGGGTTTAGGGTTTAGGGTTTAGGGTTTTTAGGGTTAGGGTTTAGGGTTTAGGGTTTAGGTTTTAGGTTTAGGGTTTAGGGTTTAGGGTTTAGGGTTTAGGGTTTAGGGTTTAGGGTTTAGGGTTTAGGGTTTAGGGTTTAGGGTTTAGGGTTTAGGGTTTAGGGTTTAGGGTTTAGGGTTTAGGGTTTCGGGCTTGGGGTTTAGGGTTTAGGGTTTAGGGTTTCGGGCTTGGGGCTTGGGGCTTCGGGGGCTTAGGGGGCTTAGGAGGTTGAGGTTTAGGGCGCAAGGGTTTAGGACTTTGGGGCTTGCGGTCTAAGTTGCTTTGTGACGGTTTTGGGTCTTGGGGTTGGGGCTTCTTGGGCGTTCAGTTCAGAGGGTTCGGGCGGTTATGGTCAGGGTTTGGGGTTAGTGTCTTGGGCAGCTGGGAGTTCTCGGCTTCTCGGTGCTTTCGGAGGGTGGCTTCTTCAAAACGGGTTTAGGTTCCGATTCTGGGGGAGTGGAGGGGAGCCCGAACGACACACGAGAGTGGATGAGTGACCTATTCCTGGTGATCAACACGAGGCAGCCAGTACACATGCAAGCAACTGGCGCGAATGGCAAGGCAAGGCAATGCAATGCAAAGGGGTGGAGTTGCAAAGCAGTCAGGGGTTTGACCCTCCACTATACACCGTAGGGGACTTAGATGAGAGCGTGGTCAAGGCTTGCGACTTCAAAGCTTCCCTTGAAGGCATTCCCTAGGCAAGATGAAGCCAGGTGACGTCGAAGCGAGGGGAGATCACGCCGCACTTGTTCAGGCGGCCGATAAGCTCCACGACGACCTTGCCTGCTCGGTGGTCATCAATGATCCTTGGACGTGCGTGAGGCCCTGACAGTTCTATGGGCACTTCCCAAGATAGGGGTGATCTGCCGCAAACTAAGTAACCTTTTCCAAGGTGTACACCTATCTTGGGGAGCCCTATTTTTGCTCCTTAAGGGACGGGGGTCCGAGAGAGGCACCTACGCCGGGGCTTCGGGAAACCGTGGGGAGCACCAAACAGTAAAAGGGTCTTGGGTTTGGGGCTTGGGGCCAGCTTACAAGACAAAAAAGCAACACCCCCCTCCCCCCCTTCTCGGAAGAGCCGGCCCCCCCCCAAACGCAAAGTGGCTGCTGTAAAGAGCCCAAGCTCTCAAGGTCTCCGATGTAGCCGTGCTTCTGCATCACCTGCAGGAACTTGATGATGACCTTGGAGTTCGGCCTGATCAACACCTGGCGCTTGCCGCGCTTCTCGGCGTTCACGATGTTGTTCCTCGTTTCGGGGGAGGGGTTCGGGGGCACCCTTCTCGGCAGCCTGACCTGCATCTAAGCACAAAGCACCGAGCCCTCAACACCCTCCAAAGGCAGAAGCATCTTGGGGTTATCGTTCTAAACCCTAAACCCTAAACCCTAAACCCTAAGAAAAAGGGAGCCTGCGGGGAAACCCAAAGATAATCTGTGCCCTGGTGCAGGCAGTCACGGAGGACACTGATCCGCACCATTGTTGTCCTCGACTGCTCTACCAAACCCTTGTCAAACACAAACCTTTTATGGGCCCAACCTCTTCAGACATGTAACTTGTATCGTCCCTGTTGCACAGGACAACTCTTGTTAACCCTAAACCCTAAACCCTAAACCCGACTCTAAACCCGACACCCTAAACCCTCAACCCTAAAACCTAAACCCTAAACCCTAAACCCTAAACCCTAAACCCTGAACCCTGAACCCTGAACCCTAAACCCTAAGCCAACTTACATTTAAAAAATGTTCTTCTCAACAACGGCCGGGTGTCTTCGAGGGGAGTTGCGGGAGCTTGGCTTCGCCACCCGGCTCTTGGCTTGAGCAAATCCGCTGCAGGTGGGTTTCTTGGGGCTTCAATGGGTTTAGGGTTTAGGGTTTAGGGTTTAGGGTTTGGGGTTTGGGGTTTAGGGTTTAGGGTTTAGGGTTGCTTCTGTTTCTTATGGCATTGAGGGCTGCACCTAGCTTCGGGCTTTCGGGGCGTGGGGCCAGGGGCTTCGGGCTTTTTCGGGGTTGCAGGGGGTGAGGCCTTTGAGGGTTAGGGTTTAGGGTTTAGCGGGTTTGAGTTTAGGGATAGGGTTTAGGGTTTAGGGTTTAGGGTTTAGGGTTTAGGGTTTAGGGTTTAGGGTTTAGGGTTTAGGGTTTAGGGTTTAGGGTGTAGGGTTTAGGGTTTAGGGCTCAGGGAATTAGGGTTTAGGGTATAGGATTTGAGGTTGAGGGTTTAGGGTTATGATACCGCCCCCTTTCTTGGGAAACCCCCAAAAGACACGGCCAGATGTAAAAGACCTGACCATAGCATACCTTGACCGCCAAAGCCCTAGAGCCTGAGACCTACATATGAAACTAATCGCTCTAAACCACTACTAAACCACCCTAAACCCTAGACCCTACACCCTAAACCCTAACCCTGCAGCCCCAAGGACACAGCTTTTCCTGGCTCTTCCCTTCGCAACCTCCTCCTTGCTCGGGCCCCTCCTTAGTGCTTGCGTAGGATCAGCTGGGTGTGATCGCTGTTCAGGGTTTAGGGCTAGGGTTTAGGGTTTAGGGTTTAGGGTTTAGGGTTTAGGGTCTAGGGTTTAGGGTTTAGGGTTTAGGGTTTAGGGTTTAGGGTTTAGGGTTTAGGGTTTAGGGTTTAGGGTTTAGAGTTTAGGGTTTTGGGTTTAGGGTCAGCTTGCCAACCTGAACCCTGAGCCATTCTGAGCCCCAAGCCCCAAGCCCGGCACCCTCAGCCCGAGACCTAAAACCCGAAACTCCAAACCCCTAGCCCTAAACCACACACCCTGAACCCTTCAGTCTGGCCCTCTGCAACCCAAGACCCACAAGACACATCGCACACCCTTACAGCGGGGGTCTATGGAGGTTTATGGGGCTTTTTGGGGGTGTGTGTTTTCTGGGTCGAAGGGGAAGCCTTTGCTTCCATGGCTCTCTAGTTCTGAACCCTAAACCCTCTTGAACCCTCAAAGCTCAGCCAAAACCCTGTAAACCCCCACACCCTGCAGGTAACCGGGATCTGAACGAAGAAGAGACAGAAGCCCCTCTTGTAAGCACTCAGGGTTCAGGGGGCCCTTGCACCCTAAACCCTAAACCCTAAACCCTGAACCCTAAACCCTAAACCCTAAACCCTAAATCCTGAACCCTAGACCCTAAACCCTAAACCCTAAACCCAAGGCCAGGAGTCAGAAGAAGAAGCCCACGATCTTGCCGCCCACGTGCTTGCGGCGCGCCTCCTCGTGGTCCATGATGCCGTAGGTCGTGGTCCTGCAAAATTTAAGGGGTATGAGGAGGTACCCCTAGAATCCTAGAAGGGACCCTATAATCTTATTCCCCTACATGACCCCTGTATATACCTTATATAGTCTCTACATACCAAAGTAGCCCCGAAAGAGCCCCTAAATAACCCTCCAAGGTCCCTTATAAGGGTCCGTTTCGCCTACGTTTGCCCTAAACTCTGAACCTTAAACCCCGAAACCCTACATCCTAAACCCCAAACCCTACAACCAACCCCCTAAACCCTAAGCCCTAAGCCCTTTCAACCCTTCAAATTGTTTAAACCCTTAAAGCCCTTAAAACCCTTTACTGTACACCCTTGCAACTTTTTCAACTCTTTAAAACCCTTTGAACCCGTTAGACCCTTTGAACCCTTAAAACCCTTCCAACCTTTTGAACCCGTTAAGCCCTTTGAACCCTTCAAACCCTTAAAGCCAAAAAGCAAAAAAACTAAACCCTGAACCCTGCCATCCCTCCCTGGGTCCCTTCTGAGGCCCCCTAAACCCTAAACCCTAGACCCTAAACCCTAAACCCTAAACCGAAACCCTAAACCCTAAACCCTAAACCCCCTCCCTTTGTCAGCCGTCTGAGGGCCCCCGCAGCACCAGGTGCCCGAACTGACGCGAGGGGAGCAGGTCGCTGGCCAGCTGCTCGATGCCCTCCACGGACACCTGCAGAAAGAAAGCTCTTGGGCTTCAGGGTCCAAGGGTTTAGGGTTTAGGGGTTTAGGGGTTTAGGGGTTTAGGGTTTAGGGTTTAGGGTTTAGGGTTCAGGGTTCAGGGTTTAGGGTTCAGGTTTTTAGGGCTTTAAGGTTTAGGGTTTTTGGTTTCAGGCCCATATGAATCAGGACTTCGGGGCGTTTTTCTTAACTTCAGCGCGATAGGGTTTGGGGCTTCGGGGGGTGGGGCTGTCAGACTAGCTAGAATGCACGCTCCGTGTCTACACGCTGCTCCTATAAGCATGGTCAACACTTGCTAGCCGAAGCTACATAACCCAACCCTAGGCACCGGGTTTAGGGTTTAGGGTTTAGGGTTTAGGGTTTAGGGTTTAGGGTTTAGGGTTTAGGGTTTAGGGTTTAGGGTAACCCCAATGCTAACGTCCTTGAACCCCTATGTAGGATCTTTGGAGGTCTTCAGGCGAGCCGGCCCTCCACGACATATACCCCCCCACACCTACACAGGTCACCTTTCTTTCTTCTCGCATTCTGCAACCCCAAGACGTATGAACCTTTGTTTGGGTGTAGGGGGAGATGTCGGGGGGGGGTTCAGGACTCCTCTTCCCCAGGCCCATGACCCTAAACCCTAAACCCTAAACCCTAAACCCTAAACCCTAAACCCTAAACCGCCCAGGGGCATCGAAGCGAGGGGAGATCACGCCGCACTTGTTCAGGCGGCCGATAAGCTCTACGACGACCTTGCCGGCGCGATGGTCGTCAATGATCCTTGGGTGTGATGCCCAGAGGCTACTTAGGTATGTAGGGAGTATATAAAACATACATGTATATATATATATATATAGAATATAGAGTATATATAGAGTATATATATATATAGAGTGTATATATATATATATATAGAGTATATATAGAGGTTATGTAGGGAAGAAGATTGAGGGTCCCTTCTAGGGTTCCCTCCTTAGACCCCTCAAAAGGAACAATACCTCCCCCCACCCCACCCCCCCACCCGCCCCTTCGCATTTTCAACCGGCCCCCAAACGCAAAGTGGCTGCTGTAAAGAGCCCAAGCTCTCAAGGTCTCCGATGTAGCCGTGCTTCTGCATCACCTGCAGGAACTTGATGATGACCTTGGAGTTCGGCCTGATCAGCACCTGGCGCTTGCCGCGCTTCTCGGCGTTCACGATGTTGTTCCTTAACAGCCGGGTCGGCCTGCTCAAAAACGAGCCGGCTGTGTGGGGGGGGGGGGGGGGGGGGGGGGGGCTGAATTCGTTCAACGTTTCTAGAAGGTTCCCACTAGCAGAGACTAAAGTGGATCGATCAGCCCAGGTTCAGGCAGTCACGGAGGACGCTGATCCGCACCATGGTTCTGAAAAGCTCTGGGAATGTGTTGCGAGCCAGATACACTCTCCGCTGGAGCCGAAATTGAGCAGCCAAGCATCGGTTCAAGGAGAGCACCCCTGTAGCTAGGACTTGAGGGTGGTGGGGTTTCGGGGCTCTTACCCCTACACCCCTACCACGAAAGCTCAGAAGCCCTCAAGACCTCGACCGCAAACCCTGAGCACCCTGAGGCCTGACCCTGAACCCGGGACCCACCATGGTAAACCCACCATGAACCACGGGAGGGGGGGGGGGGAAGGGAATAAACCTTCAACCCGAAGTTATTTTGGGGAGGGGGGGGCGGAGGGGGGGGGGGGGGGGGGGGGGGGGGGGGGGCTGGCATTCTGGCAGCTCAAGCTGTTTCCCCGCGACGAGCTGGTCGTTGAGCTGCTGCGCCGGGACTGTTTGGGCCTGTGCAGTGCAAGGGTTTAGGGTTTAGGGTCTGGGGTCTAGGGTTTAGGGTTTAGGGTTTAGGGTTTAGGGCTTAGGGCTTAGGGTTTAGGGCTTAGGGCTTAGGGTACCCTAGGAAGCTTAGCGATTGAGTTCTGGGGGGTGGTTTTAGTTTTAAGAGGCTTAGGATTGAGGATTCTAGGGCGATTCTGGGGGGGGGGGGGGGGGGGGGTTTTCTAGTCGGGGGGGGGGGTGAGGGGGGGGGGGGGGTGGGGTAAGGGTTGGGGGGGGGGGGGGGGGGGGGGGGGGGTGGTTTCACTTTTGCCCGCAGTCCTTTTGCCTTCCAACCCTTCGATACTTAATATAGGTGCCTGAATAATGAGAACAGGGTTTTGGGGGTGATTGTAGTATAAATATACAGGGACCCCCTGCCCCTTTTTGCACCCTAAACCCTAAACCCTAAACCCTAAACCCTAAACACTAAACCCTAAACCCTAAACCCTAAACCCTGAACCCCTTTGTGCAGTATGCCACCAGCTGCCACCAACTAAGTCTCGGCTTGCGGCGATCGATGATGCTCCGAGTCAAAGCTGGGTAGGTCTCTGAATTAGGGTCCCTTTTTGGGATCCTTTTCAAAAGGGATCCGCCTTAGAATGGGCACCCAAAAAAGGAACCCAATTGTGGAAACCACCCAAATGATGACTGACATGGGGGATTATAGTAGGGCGTACTGGAATCCCTACCAAGGACTGTTAGTCTAAGGGGGAACAAGGGACCCTAAACCCTAACCCTAAACCCTGCACCCTCAACACCCACAACTCCCTGAATGTTCAGGCTCAAAGGGTTCCTGCCTGCGCCGTTTCCGGGAGCCATTGTCCTGAAGACGGGGAAGGTTATGGTTAAGGCTTTAGGGCTTTCGGGGGTTTAGGGCGTGATTTTCGCTCGACCTGACATCGGGCTGTCTGAGGCTCGTGTAGACCTAAGCCAAGTGACGGCAGAGTAACTTTGCCCTGGTGTGGACTCACGAGGGCTTGGGCTTCTTTTGGGGTTTAGGACTTTGGGGGGGGGGGGGGGGGGGTCGAAGATTAGGGGTACCGTATTGTCTCCTTACTACAAGGAAATCCTGTCCCCTATTTACGTACACCCCCTTTGGGGTTTAGGAGTTGGCGTGGAGCTTGGGGTTCATATCCCAGTGATTCAGCACAGCTACCGAGGGTTTAGGGTTTAGGGTTGAGGGTTTAGGGTTGAGGGTTTAGGGTTTAGCGTCTGAAAGTTTGCGTATGCCCTACCCAAAACCCTAAATACCCTCCCCAAAACCCTGTTCTAACTATTCAGGCCCCTACATTATGGGGCTAACCCCCCCAAAAACCTGTTCTAGTTCTCAAGGCCCTTGCATTATGGGGTTAGCCCCCCTAAACCCCAAACCCTAAATCCTAAATTATGGGGTTTCAGGCTGCGGGAGTTGAGGGCTTGAACGGGCTTTTACAGGGGTGCTGGGCTTCAGGGCACAGCCTGGGCTTAGGGTTTAGGGCTTAGGGTTTGGGGTTAAGGGCTTAGGGCTTAGTAACATTACAAAGGGACCCATAAGGGAATACCTGAGCCCTAAACCTAAACCTCAAACCCCAAAGACGTCGCCTCCGGCTCTGGCGACAGCCGGTACGAGGGCGACCGCCGGGCCCGGCGTGCAGGCGTGCGGGAGCGCCGTGGGGAGGGGGAGGCCTGGCGGGGTTCGGGGAATAGGGCTTATCGGGTTTAGGGGTTACGGTTTAGGGTTTAGGGCTTAGCGTTTAGGGTTTAGAGTTTAGAGTTTAGAGTTTCTCGGTTAAGGGTGTACGGTACCGAAAAGACCGGCTCAGACTCAGTGTTTGAACCCCCAAACCCTACACTCCTAAACCCTGAACCCTGAACCCCATAACCCCTGCTTCTCAATAGTCTTGACAGGCATGGTGTCCCGTGTTCATCCACGTTCCTACTCACAAACCGCCTTAAACCCTACACCCGAACCGTAAAGACCCTAAACCCCTAACCCCAAAGCCTAAACCCTCAAAGGCCGCAACCCCCCTAAACCCCAAACCCCCAAACCCTGCAGCCCTCACCCCAAACCCTCAAAACCAAAAAAACCCAAACCCGCAAAGCCTGCATGCCAAAACCTGAAGCCTAAAGCCTAAACCCCTGAAAGCTAAACCCCAAACCCCAAGCCCTGAAACCTTCACACGAAGGCCTCCTCTCGACGCGCGCGCTCGCGTGGCTTCGCTGGGATCCTGGAGGCTTTCAGGGTTTGGGCTTGGGTTTTGAGGGTTTATAGGGTTTATAGGGTTTAGAGGGTTTAGAGGGTTGAGGATTTTAGGGATGTTGTTGTTGTTGTTTTTTTTTTTTTTTTTTTGGGGGGGGGGGGGTGTGGTGTGGGGGGGTTAGGGGCTTACGGTTGAAGGGGTTTAGGCTGTAGGGGATGGAGGGTTTAGGGGGTTTGGACTTTAGGGGTTTAGGCTTTAGGGGTTGAGGTGGCCATGGCAAAGCCAAACAAGCAGGATACTAATCATCGTCATCAGGGTTGAAAGGCTTAGGGCGGGGTTGGGGGCTCTACGATTCGCACAAGCATCCTACAGGCTGTTAACCCTAAACCCTAAACCCTGAACCCTGAACCCTGAACCCTGAACCCTGAACCCTAAACCCTAAACCCTAAACCCTAAACCCTAAACCCTAAACCCTAAACCCTACTCCTCCGGGTTCGTCTCGCGGAGTGAAGCTGCAGAAGTGCGGCGATTTAGAGCTTCGGGTAAGCTAGGATTGCCCTCGAAGCCACGTAGTGCCCTAAAGCTACTCCTTAACCTGAGACTCCAAAACTCGAGGAGTCTTGCAGCACGAACCCCTAAACCCTAAACCCTAAACCCTAAACCCTAAATCCTAAACCATCCCAAACCCCCCCCCCCCCCAAAAAAAAAAAAAAAGAAAAAAAGCCCCTAAAGCCTGGTCCTGGGCCGGGGTGGCCTCGGCTGGGGCCTGGCCTGGGCCGCACCTTTCCTCAGCCCCGCCGCTGTTCTTGATCTATGGGGTTTGGGGTTTGGGGTTTGGGGTTTAGGGTTCCTGATTTGGGGTTTAGGGTTTAGGGTTTAGGGTTTCGGGTTTGGGGTTTAGGGTTTAGGGTTTAGGGTTTAGGGTTTAGGGTTTAGGGTTTAGGGTTAGAGCGGCCAGGGGGCTTCAGGGGCCTAGACGGCTTCAAGGGCGGAGAACGACGTGGTTCAGGGATGCCGGAAGAGAACAGCCTCCCCATAGCCCCACAGCACATGCCCAGGCCCATTTGCTCAAGTCTAGGGTTTAGGGTTTAGGGTTAGGGCTTAGAGTTTTACAAGAGTTTAGGGTTTAGGGTTTAGGGTTGCTAAAATCTTTAGTCTTCCGCCCCCACCCCTCTCCTACCGTCAACCCTCAGCCTTCCTCACCCCCCAAAACACCGAAACCCCGAAACCCCTAAACCCCAAACCCTGAACCCTAAGCCTGCTGAGGCAACCCTAACAAGCCCCAGCAGGGATTGAAGCGCGGGCACTCCCCTCATATTCCTGCTACTGGGGGTCGGCCCAGTGAAGACCCGGTGGTTCATGGCACTAGAAACCCTAAACCCTAAACCCTAGTCCCTCAACCCCAAACCCTAAACTGCTGTCGCGACAAGGAGCCTGAGGACTTCTCCAAGGGTGGCCTCTTTGTACCCACCAGCTACCCTAAACCCCAATTCCAACTAAACCCTCAAAACCCCTAACTTAGCCTTGATAAAAACCCTAAACCCTAAACCCTAAACCGTAAACCCTAAACCCTAAACCCTAAACCCTAAACCCTAAACCCTAAACCCTAAACTAGACCCTAAACCTTCAAAACCCCTAACTCAGCCTTTACAACCCCATCCCTCTGCAGCCGGCAGGCTGGCGGAAGTCCCGGAGGAAGTCGACGAGCGCGGTCAGGTCCTCGAGGGCGGAGTAGGCCCGAAACGCCCGCCGCGCGTCCTTAGGGTTAGGGGTTAGGGTTTAGGGTTTAGGGTTTAGGGTTTAGGGTTTAGGGTTTAGGGTTTAGGGTTTAGGGTTTAGGGTTTAGGGTTTAGGGTTTAGGGTTTGGGTTTAGGTTTTTCTTTTTAGGGTCTGGGGTTTAGGGTCTTAAGGTTGGTTTAGGGTTTAGGGTTTGGGAGTCCGGGTTGCAGGCTCTGGGAGTTTTTGGTCTCTGCTCGGGACCATCGCGTGCCCCAAACTCATAACTCCAAAGACTATTAGTCCTGCTAAGCCTTGAACCCTAAGATTCATCAAACCCCGAAGTCATTGGGTTTGGGGCTGTTTAAGGTTTCGAGCGCCCCAGACAATCCCAACATCCCAGGAGCCACTGGACGTACTGTCAGGGCCATCAACGCAGCAATCTGCCGCCAGGAGGCCAGCAAGGTTTTCTTCGGCACTGCCGACCGCTTCCTCACGCGTCAGCACCCTACGGTATCATTTTTTTTGGGTGTCTCGGTTGTTTTTGTGTGCGGGGCTGATGAACCCTAAACCCAGCCCCGTACGGGGGTTGTATACGGCTTCGGAGGTGTAGGATCCCAAGGTTTGGAAGCGAAGGTCGCGGAGGAACCCTCTTAGCTGCGGGTCGGCGCTTAGGGTTTCAGGGGGTTCCAGGGTTCGGCTTGTAGGGACATCTGGTAACTCCAGAAATCTGGAACCCTCATTTCGGCCTGAGGAATCTTCTGCAACCAGCTTCCCCCAGTAGCCTCCCGTTTTGTTTCAGTAGGTTTGAACAGCGAAAAAAGGCACTGATCCTGGGCGAATTGAACCGAGACGACGCCTAGGAGACTCTCAACTGTCGGCCCATGGGGGCTTTGCGAGTTTCAAGAGGGTTCAGAGGCTCGGGGCGAACAGGGTTCAGGGTGTAGGGCTAGGGGCTTGTAGGGTTTAGGGTGGAGGCTTAGGGCTTCTAGGGTTAGGGTGTAGGGCTTAGGGCTTGTAGGGTTCAGGGTGTAGGGTTTTGGGGTTTCGGGCTGTGGTTCTGTCAAGGCTCCGAAACCCCTCTAGCGCTTCCAAGAACCCTAAACCCTAAACCCTAAACCCTAAACCCTAAAAAAGGCGAGATGCATGCTTGGCAGGGCCACCTCACCACCCCAGCGCACGTGGCTCATGGCCTCAGGTACGATGGGCCTGTAGCTTCAGTGTCTTAGGTCCAAAGTGTTGGTGTTGGGCTTAAGGCTCCAAGGTTCGGGGTGTAGAGGTTTAGGGTTTAGGGTTTAGGCTTTAGGGTTTAGGGTTTAGGGTTTAGGGTTAAGGGTTCAGGGTTCAGGGTTCAGGGTTCAGGGTTCAGGGTTTAGGGCACCTCGGCCTGGGTAGATCCATGCATTCGGCCGATGTAACCCTACACTCTACACAATGGCTAAATTGCGACCCCTTGAATGGTAGCGGTATGGAAATGGTATGGCCCTGACCTGAACCCTGAACCCTACACCCTCCGGAATGCTACGCAAATGGAGCAGAAGGGTAAGACTGAGGCCCCAAACCCACGCGAAGCCACAGGGATTGTTGGGGTTAAGGGATGAGGGTTTCAGTTTCAGGGTCTCAAGACTTCTAGAGGTCTACTGCTCACCCCAAACCCTGAGCCCCAACCCCATACTTGGGGGCTTCTGAAGCCCCGCGAGGTCAAGCGCCAGCAGCCTCTCTTGCTGAGCCCCATGCTGGGACGCCTGGTCCGGCGGCCGCTCCTGTTTTTGGGGCTTGGGGGAGGGGGGACTGGGGTCTAAGGTTTGGGGCTTCAGGCTTTGACCCCTGAACCCTAAACCCTCTTCCCTAAAGCCCTGAAGCCTAAACCCTCTTCCCTAAACCCTAAACCCTCTGCCCTAAAGCCCTAAAGCCCTAAGTAAGTTGAATGACATCGGAGGCTTTGAGGGTTCCTGGCAGGGTTCAAGGCGACTTTGGGGCTCCTTCAGGGTTTCTCGGCTCTAGGGCCTTGAGCCTCCCAAAACCCTAAATCCTAAACCCTAAAGCCCTAAAGCCCAAAAGCCCTAAAACCCTAAAACCCTAAACCCTAAACCCTAAAGCCCTAAAACCCTAAAACCCCAAAACCCTAAAACCCTAAAACCCTAAAACCCTAAAACCCTAAAACCCCAAACCCTAAAACCCTAAAATCCTAAACCCGAAACCCTAAACCCTAAACCCCAAACCCCAAACCCGAAACCCTAAACCCTAAACCCTAAACCTCCTAGGCTTGGCTTGGGGCCCAGGTGGGCCCCTATCAGCGCCGAGGCACCAGGGGCTGCGAAGAAGTGGAGGAACTCCGAGAGGTCACAGACGGCCTCGAACCTCAGGGTTTAGGGTTTAGGGTTTAGGGTTTGGGGTTTAGGGTTTGGGGTTTGGGGTTTGGGGTTTGGGGTTTAGGGTTTAGGGTTTAGGGTTTAGGGTTTGGGGTTTGGGGTTTGGGGTTTGGGGTTTGGGGTTTAGGGTTTAGGGTTTAGGGTTTGGGGCTTAAAGTTTAGGGCTTGAGAATGTTTTTTCCTTAGGGTCTGGGGCTGAGGGTTTGGGGCTGAAGGTTTCGGGCTTTGGTGGTTTGATCTAGCTCACATGTAGTTTTTTGCAGCCTGAACTATCTCAGGAATATGCGAACAGCCCCTAAGAGCTACAACCCCGCCAGGTGCCGTGTAGGCGCTTCTCTTCCTTCGGCTGCACAAGGCGCAGCCCACGGGCCTGCGATACAGTAGGCCGCCGGGGACGCAGCGAAGCTTTTTTGGGTTCAGCGTTTCGGGTCTAGGGTTTAGGGTTTGGAGGGTTAAGGGTTTTGGGTTTTGGTTTTGCTGGCTGATGTCCGCCGAGGCCTCGGGCCGTAGCTGTCTGGGTGGAGCACAAACCCCACCTCTAATCACACCCCTTCACTTGGCACTTTTTACCCTAAACCCTAAACCCTAAACCCTAAACCCTAAACCCTAAACCCTAAACCCTAAACCCTAAACCCTGTCTCTGGAACTCCTGGGCTCCTCGTTTCAGGACTAGGGCTCAGGTATGGGTGGGGCATATCGGGCTTAGGGTTCAACGGAACACTGCGGAACACTCTCTTTATTTAGGGTCTAGGGTTTAGGGTTTAGGGTTTAGGGTTTAGGGTTTAGGGTTTAGGGTTTAGGGTTTAGGCTTTTAGGGCTTTTAGGGCGATGTAGAGAGGAGAGGGTCAGCAACATTACAGGCCCCTGTGCGGTCTCCAGCGGAGTTCGAGCGAACTCCTTATCAATGGTTCGCGGTACCCACAGGGGCCAATGCTCAGCTCCAGCTGCTGACGGTTCAGGGTTTAGGGCTTAGGGGCCCTAAACCCTAAGCCCTAAGCCCTAAGCCCCAAGCCCCAAGCCCCAAACCCTAAACCCTAAACCCTAAACCCTAAACCCTAAACCCTAAACCCTAAACCCTAAACCCTAAACGTTTAGGACTTCTTCAGCCTTCTTGCCAAGGCCGACGAGGTCAGAAAGGCTTGGCGCGGCCGCGGTGGATCCTGTCGCCTGAGAAACGTGGGCTTACTAGGATTGCTTCAAGGTTTAGGGTTTGCGGTTTAGGGTTTGGGGTTTGGGGTTTAGGGTTTAGGGTTTAGGGTTTAGGGTTTAGGGTTTAGGGTTTAGGGTTTAGGGTTTAGGGTTTAGGGTCCGCAACTTCCCAAGCAGTGGGACGTTGAGTGTTTCGGGTTTAGGGTTTCAGGTTTGGTGAACGCCATCCTGAGGTCGTTTGTCAGCCAGGGCTTAGGGTTTAGGGTTTAGGGTTTAGGGTTTAGGGTTTAGGGTTTAGGGTTTAGGGTCCGCAACTTCCCAAGCAGTGGGACGTTGAGTGTTTCGGGTTTAGGGTTTCAGGTTTGGTGAACGCCATCCTGAGGTCGTTTGTCAGCCAGGGCTTAGGGTTTAGGGTTTAGGGTTTAGGGTTTAGGGTTTAGGGTTTAGGGTTTAGGGTCCGCAACTTCCCAAGCAGTGGGACGTTGAGTGTTTCGGGTTTAGGGTTTCAGGTTTGGTGAACGCCATCCTGAGGTCGTTTGTCAGCCAGGGCTTAGGGTTTAGGGTTTAGGGTTTAGGGTTTAGGGTTTAGGGTTTAGGGTTTAGGGTTTAGGGTTTAGGGTTTAGGGCTTGGGGTTTAGGGTTTGGGGTTTAGGGCTCGCAACGAAGCCGCAGAGCCCTCAACCCTTGAAGCCCGGCACCCTGCAAGACCCAAACCCTCACCCAAGACATCGTGAAGCCTGGATCCCAAAAAACCCTAGAGCTCTTCTAGCCCTAAACCCTAAACCCTAAACCCTAAACCCTAAACCCTAAACCCTAAACCCTAAACCCTAAACCCTAAACCCTAACCCATCCTAAGTCCCTGTACACCCTTCAGGCCGTTTAAAGCCCTGTGGCCTTTGAACCCATTCAACCCACTGAATCCCTGACTTCAGCCCTTTAAACCCTACGAAGCCTTTAAAAACCGTTCAGACTCTTAAGTCCTAAACCGCCGCTCAAACTCTTAAGTCTAAACCCTAAACCCTAAACCCTAAACTCTAAACCCTAAACTGCCAGAGCTCTCCGGCCAAGGGGCGTAAGCCCGGAGTCGATCTACGGCGTTCATGAGCCAGTCGGGCTGCGAGAAGATCCACAGGCCAAGCTGATCCTGGAATATGGGGTTTAGGGATAGTAAGGGTTTAGGGTTTAGGGTTTAGGGTTTAGGGGTTAGGGTTTAGGGTTTAGGGTTTAGGGTTTAGGGATTAGGGTTTAGGGTTTAGGGTTTAGGGTTTAGGGTTTAGGGTTTAGGGTTTAGGGTTTAGGGTTTAGGGTTTAGGGTTTAGAGACCTGCAGGCCAAGCTGATCCTGGAAGAGGGAGAAGCGCGGTTTTGGGGTTTGGGGGGGTGGGGGCCATGGGGCTTCGGGATATTTAGGGTTTAGGGTAGGGTGTAAAGTTTAGGGTTTAGGGTTTCGGGTTTAGGGTCAGGGATTTTGGCGCTTTCAGCGGGTTAGAGTTTTGGAGTAGTTTGGGGGTAAGGGTTGATGGCTCAGTGTTCGCTGAAGAAACTTGGATGTGTGTGTGTGTGCTGAAAGAAGTTAGGGGGGGCTATTTTGTGGAGGTAGGGCTGCAGGTTTACTTGGTATCCCAGTCACCATATCAGAATGAGGGTATCCTTTTTGGGGATGGTTACTTCGTACGGGAGCCTTGAAACAAAAAAAGTGAAAAGGGTGCTACTGGGTTACCAAGTCAAATCAGGGCATGAAGCAGGGCTTATCTTACTGTTATTGGTGAGTGTATATGAGGTGCCTTGCTACTATCGGTGTGTATATATTTGGGGTGTCCTTTTGGGGGATACAAGGAATAGAAACCCTACTACTTCACATGGAGTCACGGTGTAAGCCCCCTTCCTTCCTGCGCATCCGGCTGCGCCCAGATGAAGCACTGGCTGCCTCTGCGTCCCGGGCCGGTCGAGAATGGGGGGGCCAGTGGCTAACCCTAAACCCTAAACCCCAAGCCCGAAACCCTAAACCCTGAGCTCTAAAAAGCACGGCTTCCCGAAACGGGATCGCAGTCGACGGCAGAAAGGGTGCCATGAAACTAGACTCTAATTTTTCTGCATGTTAATTGCAAATATCGACTCTGTTTATCAAATACACGAAGAGTACCGAAACAAAAAGCAGCAGCGAAACACCACACCACAGGCCCTTTCTAAACCCCCCCGAAGCCCTCCTAAACAAGATAACCCAAACCCTTGAGAAAACTCAAAAGCACAATCCTCCCTAGACCCTAAGCCGTAAACCCTAAACCCTAAACCCCAAAACCTTTAAAGCACCAGCCAGACCCAAAAATCCTGAAGCACTGCTTCCTGGCCGCCCCGGGTCTGCGCGATCGCCTCCAGAATGTCACCAGCTCGAGCAGCCCAGTCCTCTGGCTGGTGCTTTAAAGGTTTTGGGGGTTAGGGTTTAGGGGTTTAGGGTTTAGGGTTTAGGGTTTAGGGTTTAGGGTTTAGGGTTTAGGGTTTAGGGTTTAGGGTTCAGGGTTCAGGGTTCAGGGTTCAGGGTTCAGGGTTTCAGAGCAAACTGGCAAACTGAATACTATAGGGGCCTGAAGAACAGGGTTTTGGGGGCCATTATAGTGGAATTATATAGGGACCATTTGCTGAAGAATGCCAAAAGAATTAAAGATAAAAACCCCTATTTTACCCTTATAAGGGAATAATATTTCAAATCTTTTCGGGTTTCTTCAGCAATTTGTAGTACTATTCCGACCCCTAACCCTAAACCCTAAGC